ATGGACACTGGGAAGAGGTAACTATGGGGAGGAAGTGGGAGGGGAGCTGTTGCATTGTGGTAAACTGTGGTCAATGACATGAGACAAAGTATATGTAAACTGCTGTATGGAAATTTGTTCTGTAAATCTTCACCCAAATCAAAATAAAAATTTAAAAAAAGAAAGCTCCTAGAGCTTACAAATAATTTCAGTACAGTTTTAGGTACAAGATTAAGACATACCAATCAGTTGTCTTTCTATATACCAGCAATGAACACCCTGAAAGAGGAATTAAGAAAATAATTCTATTTCAATCACATTTAAATGAATCAAATATCTAGGAATAAATTTAAGCAAGGAGGTGAAAGACTTGTTCACTGAAAACCATGAAACATTGCTGGAAGATCTAAATAAATGGAAAGACTTTCAATGTTCATGGATTAGAAGACTTAACATTAAGATGTCAATACTACCAAAAGCAATCTATAGATTCAACACAATCCTGATCGGAATTCCAACAACCTTTTATGGAGAATTGGAAAAGCCAGTGCTCAAATTTACATAGAATTACAAGCAGTTTCAAATAGCCAAAGAAATCTTGAAGAACAACAACAAAGCAGGAAGATTCAAACTTCGTGACTTTAAAATGTACAATAGTGGGAGGGGAGGGTTGGGAGCATTGCAAAAATTAAAAAAAAAAAAAAACCCTAAAATACCATAAAGCTAAAGTAATCAAAATGTTCTGGTATCAGTATAATAATACATACATAGACCAATGGAATAAAATTGAGAGTCCAGAAATAAACCCATACATCCATGGTCTGCTGATTTTTCACAAGGGTGCGAAGTCCATGCAGTAAGAAAAAAACACTCTTTAATAAATGGTGCTGGGACAACAGGATCTCCACATGCAAAAGAATGAAGCTGAGCTCATACCTCACATCATACAGAAAAATTAACTCACAAAAGATCAAGGATCAAATTAAATCAAATAGATAAATGTAAGAACTAAAACTTTAAACTTCTTAGTAGATAACATAGGGGTATTGCTTCAGAACCTAGTTTAACAATAGCTTCCTATATATATGCACCAGCAACAAAAGATAAAAATAAGTAAACTGGATTTCATTAAAATTAAAAAGTTTTGTTAATCAAAGGACTTTCACAACAAAGAGACAACCTACAAATTGGGAAAAAAAAATTGGGAATCATGAATCTGATAAGGCTTTAATATCCAGAATTTATAAAGAGCTTCTACAATTCAACAACAAAAACACATATAACCCAATCAAAAAATGGGCAAAGGACTTGAATAGACAGTTCTCCAAAGAAGATATACAAATGGTTAATGCTGTTGTTGTTGTTAGGTGCCGTCGAGTCGGACCCGACTCATAGCGACCCCTCCTTGGGTTTCCGAGACAGTATCACTACAGAAATAGATTGCCCCATCTTCCTTCCGAGGAGTGGCTGGTGGGTTTGAACCGCCAGCCTTCTGGTTAGCAGTCAAGTGCCTTAGGCACTATGCTA